GAACAGCATCCACTGTACATCCAAGGGACCAGACTGACACAATTTGGCACAAACATTGCAATTATTTTCTTCACAGTTACTATTGTTACTATAACTCATATTGCAGGATAAAGCTTGACTGATGTTGCACAGGTGTTAATTTAACGTCATGATCCGATATTGAAGCGTGGCCTTGGTGACTTGACAGTGACAGACGGGAAACTGACATGCTGAAGTGAAGGATCGTGTCCAAAGTGCGTGCAAAATGGGCCTGAGGAGTTTTTCAGATTTCTGTCAACCACTTTCTAATTATTTAACTTTCACGTTCATGTGAACGTCCTCTCATTATATGCACAACCTCCATTTCATAAAGAAAAATGTTCTATTCTGTTCTATTTCCTTTACATGGACAATTAACAATTACTCAGCTTTCAGTTTAACTCCCTTTAGACTTACTTTTTTCTTTTTCAGTTGTGTTTCCTTCTTTTCATTCAAATACAAATCATATTTTATTTCTGATACATTTAGGTACACTGACATTTTTATGTGTGTGCAACTCCCTCAGTTGAGCTTTGTTGTGCATTTTGTGTGCGTAAAATATTATCGAGTGCCAAATGTGTTATGGCAGCTAACATATACATATTAGGAGCAAGAATGACAGTTCAAAACAATGTAAGAATGGAAATTAATTAATCTAGAGGACAACTTCCATTGCACTCCACCTACATAGATTTTATTGTGGCGTAAAAGAAGATGTAGATAGTAGCTTTAGATAATTACCCTAGAAGTCTTATATATATACAGTATCTCACAAAAGTGAGTAAACCCCTCACAGTTTTGTAAATATTTGATTATATTGATTGCAGCATGAAATTTGACAAGCAGATTAGCAATGTTGTGAAAACGAGCTTCTTCCAACTTCGTCTCCTGGCTAAAGTAAAGCCTTTTCTTAAGAGGCATGATCTAGAAAAGGCTATTCATGCCTTTATTAGTTCAATGCTATATTATTGTAACGCTCTTTATGTTGGTCTAAGTCAAACATCCATCTCGCATCTTCAACTTGTGCAAAATGCTGCTGCTCTCTTTTTAACAAATACATCTAGAAGTGCAAACATCACTCCCGCTCTATTTACACTACACTCGCTTCCGGTGCGTTTTACAATCGATATCAAGATTTTATCGTTTGTTTTCAAATCCTTAAATGGCCTAGCCCCGAAGTATTTGTCCGAGCTTTTAACTTCGGGTGGGCACAATCGGCTATTGCAGTCTTCGGATCAACGGGCTTTAGAAGTCCCGAGGTTGAGGTACAAACAGCAGGGCGATCGGGCCTTCGCTGTTGCTGGCCCAAAACTCTGGAACAAGGTCCCCCCTGACATTCGCACTATAACGGATGTTGTTAATTTTAAACCAAAACTTAAAACTTATTTATTTATAATGGCTTTTAATACACAGAAGTGGTGCAACAACTTCCCTCTTCTTCTGATGATTTTAGGTAACCTTATTTTTTTCTTGTCTTTTATTGAATGCTGTGTTGTTTATTCTTGGTTGATGTAAATCACTTTGGACACCTGCTGGTTGCTGTAAAGTGCTATATAAATAAATGTTGATTAATATCTTTTCATGTGACTCTTTGCTACAATGTAAAGTAGTGAGTGTACAGCTTGTATAACAGTGTAAATTTGCTGTCCCCTCAAAATAACACATCACACAGCCATTAATGTCTAAACCGCTGGCAACAACAGCGGGTACACCCCTAAGTGAAAATGTCCAAATTGGGCCCAATTAGCCATTTTCCCTCCCCGGCGTCATGTGACTTGTTAGTGTTACAAGGTCTCAGGTGTGAATTGGGAGCAGGTGTGTTAAATTTAGTGTTATCGCTCTCACACTCCCTCATACTGGAAGTTCAATGTGGCACCTCATGGCAAGAACTTTCTGAGGATCTGAATAAACGAATGGTTGTTCTACATAAAGATGGCCTAGGCGATAAGAAGATTGAAACTGAGCTGCAGCATGGTGGACAAGACCATACAGCAGTTCAACAGGACAAGTTCCACTCGCCATGGTCAACCAAAGAAGTTGAGTGCAGAGATGATGCACAAGAAAGCCTGCAAACAGTGTGCATGGTGGTGGGAGTGTCATGGTCTGGGGATGCATGAGTGCTGCCAGCACAGGGGAGCTACAGCACATTGAGGGAACCATGAATGCCAACATGTACTGTGACATACTGAAGCAGAGCATGATCCCCTCTCTTTGGAAAGCCGCAGGGCAGTATTCCAACATGATAACGACCCCAAACACACCTCTAAGATGACCACTGCCTTGCTAAAGAAGCTGAGGGTAAAGGTGATAGACTGGCCAAGCATGTCTCCAGACCTAAACCCTATTGAGCATCTGTGGGGCATCCTCAAACGGAAGGTGGAGGAGTGCAAGGTTTCTAACATCCACCAGCTCTGTGATGTTGTCATGGAGGAGTGGAAGAGGACTCCAGCGGCAACCTGTGAAGCTCTGGTGAACATGCCCAACAGAATTAAGGCAGTGCTGGAAAATAATGGTGGCCACACCAAACATTGACAGTTTGGAGCCAATTTGGACATTTTCACTTAGAGGTGTACTTGCTTGTGTTGCCAGCACTTTAGGCATTAATGGCTGTGTGATGTGATATTTTGAGGGGACAGCAAATTTACACTGTTATACAAGCTGTACACTCACTACTTTATTCTGTAGCAAAGGGTCATTTCCTCAGTGTTGTCACATGAAAAGTTATAATCAAATATTTACAAACATGTGAGGGGTGTACTCACTTTTGAGAGATACTGTATGTGTATATTGTATAAGATGTGCAGTAGAAGGAGAGCAACAGTAACACAATAGAAACACAGAGTTGGAAATGTGTGCTACTAGACAACAGCCAAGCAGAGAGGGAAACAATTTAAGATAGATCTCCCTTTCAATCTGTACTCTGCCCTCCGTGTCTCCCCTAGGACTCCTCCTCCCATTCCATCTTTCTGTCTCTCGGTCCATCTCATCCCTCTTTCCTTCTCATCTTGCTGTGCAGCCAACGCCCTTTGCTTCCATGTCTCACTGTCATCAGATATATTAAACCAATCTTAATTCCGTCCAACTTTGATTTCTTTTTGTAAATTAATGACCTGCTTTCCGAGAGAAAATATGTGCTGAGGGCATTTTAATGTCGGACTGCAGGAAGGAAGAGGATGAGCTGATTTGTTGCACATCACATACCTGTAGTGTGAAGCCATGGGAGTGTGTTTGTGTGCATTTTGTGTGTGTGTGTATGTATGTGTGTGTTCTTGACATAGCTCCCGATGCACTTTGCCAGAGATTTTAAGTGAATTGAGGCCGAGAGGGTTGGACAGAGTACAAACAGTAAGCGAAGATGAGCTGGGGGTAGTTGCAGTAATAACATTCGAAACGGGTGGTAAAAACAACACACATAAAAGACAGTGTGGCTCAAATGCACAAGACTCTGTAGTGAATGTGTGAGAGAAAATAGAAGGAGGTGAAAAGAAAAAGATGAAAAGGAGAGGGAAATTAGTGAAATGCTTTCAAGCTTTTATGTAAAAAAAGAAAGTTTGAAAAATGAATATTTAAGATGAATATAATGTCGACTACTTAAAAACAGAATGAAATATTTAGCAGTATTTCCTTTGCTGGCACCCACCCCCCAATGTTTTCTGATGAGTTTTGCCCGGTTCATTGTCAGACCCAAAGGCACAAATTCTTTCAAATTGTAGTTCATATTCAACATTAAATGTGGGATTATTCAAAATTCAAAACATTTCTCTTCTCAGTCTCTCTCTTCAATCATTTTTCTGGGGCCTGACAGTTTCTCTATCTCTCTCCTGCGTTCTCTCAGAATATCTCTCTCCTTCTCTCCAGGTCTAATATGTCATGCTCCCTCGAGATAGCTTTTCTTTTTTTTCCTCATACCTGTCTGCACCTCCCTTCCTATCTGTATCTCTACCCCACTATCCCTTTGTCAGTTCCTATTCCAGTTTGCTCTCCCCACGTTTCTTAATCCACCTCCCTCCCCTGCGATAATTCTTCTCCTCTTTCCCTCCCTTGCTCCTCTCTGTCAAGCCCCTTCTCTCCTCTTTCTCTCTCTCTCTCTGATGTGCTCTTCTCTCCTCCCCTCCACTCCTTCCCTTCCTGCCTCCCTCTTCCTCTCTGTTTTTCTCACTCTCACTCCCGCTTCCTCCTTCCCTCTTCCTCTCCCTCCATCTACCGCTCTCTCTCTCTTTCCCTAAATCAGCCCTGATAGACTGCAGCAACACACGTGTTCCAGACGTGCTCACACAAGGACGAGGATGTGCCGAGGTGTTAGCGCAGTAATTACGCACTGGCACAAACACACACACACAGAGATGCACACACAAACATGCATCACACATGCACACGCACTCATGCCTGCACATTACAGCACCACTATTCTAATTTGTAGTACTGACAGGCATTTTGGGAAAGGAAAGTAACACGGGAAGAAAGGAGAAATAGAACCAGAGAATAGATGAAAGGAGAGGGGATGAAAGCTCAATGATAATGTGAAAATGGAAAAAAAAAGAAGGAAGGGGGCAGGGGAGGCAGCCAAAGCAAACTGAAAAGGTTAGACAGACAGGCGGTAAACAGAGATGAATGGGCAAAAAAAGGACAGGAATGGAGAAACCACAAAGGGAAAAAAGACATGCATTGAGTTTTCATAGTCTGAAACCAAAAAGAAAACAAAAACATGGAGCAAAACTGGGAAAGGAGAGTGTAAGTGACAAATAATGAGAGAGAGAGGAGGAGAGTGAAAGAGAGAATCAGCAAGAGCCGCGCTCATTTGCCCACAAACGATATAAATGGGTATGTGTGTGTGTGTGTGAGAGAGAGAGAGAGAGAGACCGAGAGGGAGGGGAGGAGTGAGCGAGAGAGGGAGGAGTGAGCTGGAGAGGGAGGAGTAAGAGAGCGTGTGTGTGTGTGTTTGTGAGACATTGTTATCCAGTCCTGCCAGAGATCAACAGCAGCAGCGCGAGCATCACCAGCGGACGGGATACAGACGCACTGAGGCAGCGAGGAAATAAAGGAATACACACTGATGAAGGAGCAACAACAAAGAGGGAGGATGGAATAAAAAAAGCCTTTTATTGCTTCTCCTTTCTCTTCCCACTTCTGTTTGGAGCATCCCACAAGCAGAGCACCAGTGAAAACACATACATATGATATATATATAAAATTCCTATACATATATATCAAATTATGCCTGTTTTCAAAGAAGCTGCAGCCGGACAAGGACTGATTTGACAGCAAAATCCATTGCATGAAAAATTGGGAGATAATGTGCAGCATTTGCCTAAAAAACTGTCGCATGTAAATGCTTTGAGATTTTTTTTGTCAATTTTTGCTTGGGAAAAAAGACAAAAAAAATATATTGATGCAAATGCACAATTTTGAAAACTGGCAACTGAGTTGTTGAACAACAACAGCAAAGAGCTTCTGCTGCCGACAGTCCTATATTTCCAAAGGAGCTTCTTTTAAAAACAGGATATTTTTGATCTGCCCTTGTTGCCACACGGCTGTGTGGCTGTCGCATCTCCACTTGTCTCTGTCGTCCGAATGGGCTGGGGGAATATAATTCCAGCGAGGCTCATACAAGTGCGCCGCTGAAAGTGCAGAGGGCTCTCTGACCCCATGCTGATATTTCCTCAGCAACAACAAAATAGCCTTACAGCCCAGCTCGGGCTGAGAGGAAAGGCTGAGGTAAGTTGTGGGAGAGAGGAAGAGGCATAAATATCAAAGAGAGGATAGAGGGAGATTGCAATCAGAGTGTAAACAAAGAGACTTAATCAAAAACTGAGCCACAAGCAAACCAAGGAAGGAGAAACAAAACCTCAAAGAACAAACCATGATCCGTCATGTGGGACACTCCACTCTGGTTGAGTAATTCCAGCATCTCTTGAGTCTTGGATGCAGCACCGCTAAGACATTAAGATCAGGGATTCAGTATCACATCATCAGCCCTTCCGCTTTCTCCTCCACTCCCCTCTCCCCTTAGTCTTTGCACTTGTAGAGCAGGACGGAGCAGACTGATAGACAGAGTACCCAGCTGGTGTCCCTGGGATCCACAGAGAGTAGGGGTTTCACGGAGCAACAGCAACAGGAGCCCCCGCACGCACACAGAGAACAAAAAGCCATCGGACTCCTTAGTGTGCCACTTAAAAGCTACAGACACTGACACTGACAGAGCACTGTCACCAGGGGGATTTGAGCTGTTGGTGGATGTGTGTGTGAGAGTGTGCGTGAAAGAAACCACGCTTTAGTTGCGCAGGACGCTTTTAAAGTATTTGTTTTAAAGAATATTAGAACAGCTGTTGTTACCTGTTGGGTCTTTGACTGGAAAAAGAAAGGGGCTATACTCCTACACAATCTTTACAAAATAAAAGCTTAATATTCAATATCACTCATAAAGACATCAGGGACTGGAAGACTGGATCTCTACATCGGAAGGAGCGAGTAACATTCCCCAAGGTGGACCAAGGTGGCAGCGAAAAGATGCCCACCACAAAAATAAAAAAGCTTCTTTTGAACAGTGATACTGAGTGTAGGAGGATGATAGATGCAAGTTAAGTTCTGAGAGGGAGAAGTACACAGACAGCTCCAGTGGAAAACACTGCACTTTTCCTGGACATCAGATCTGATTTGACTCCAGTGTTGAGCATTAGAGTTGTTTTCCTCTCAGGAATATGAGTTTGTCTGAAAAGCCTTTCATGTTGGAGCCCGTGACTATCTGCGAGTTTTAGAGGAATCTGCCTTCTTTTTCTGCAAGCCGCGTCGGAAACCCAGAGTTCTCACTTTTCAAGGATTATTCATCCACTCAGTGGGGCAGCGTATTGCTGGAAATGCCAGAGGCAAGTTCATTCGTACGTAACATACCCTCCTAAACTGGATTCCCTCCAGGCCACTGGATTCAGATTCGTCTACAACCACCTCTGTTGATGACATATGGCTTTGTGAAAGGTGACATTTCCTGAATTTTGGAATATATGGTTTGCTTGGATAAACACACACACACATGCAGTTAATTTCAAGAGTCCGTGCATGTGAGTGCCAGCTCACAAGGGACTCATTCACTGCTATTAAGAGTGTGTTGAGATGGGAGATTGATTTTTGTCACTCACTTGTTCCTCTGCCCTTTGATAAAAGCTTTCTGTGACTTTGTGCAGTAATAACTTCCTCTTCGCTAATTAAATGCTTTATATTGAATGCAGGGTTGAAAAAAAAATGTGAACGCTAAATATTTTCTCAGTGATTTCTTATACTAAAGCTCAGAGATTCATTCAGTTACTATCATTTACCCTGGGAAAGAAGGATATTTAACTTTCTTTTTCTTTGTTGTTTTTTTAAACCTAGGAGCTTTCATTTGGCCCATTAATAATTACACATCAGCAGTGAGCCATCACAAAACATTGGAGTCCAAGATGGCCACCTCGATGCATCCACTCTTGGTGAGCTTCTCGCTGGCCATTCTCCTGGGGTTGACCTCTCTGGGTGGACTGAACTCTTGGTCATCAGGTCAGGCTTTCGCCCAGGTCTCTACCAACAACCAGACAACAGAGCCCTCTATGTTGCCAGAGGCTGCGCTGGCAACTCCCACACCAGACGCAGAGGAAAAAACAGTTCCAAGTGCTGGTAACCGTTGCTGGGGTTACTATGATGTCATGGGCCAGTGGGACCCGCCTTTCAACTGTAATGCAGGCATCTACCTGTTCTGCTGTGGTTCCTGCTTCTACCGCTTCTGCTGCCAGTTCAAAATCCACAGTTTGGACCAGACTTCCTGTTCCAACTATGACACACCAGTTTGGGCAAACACTGGGCGACCAGCGGCGCCCGTCACAGAGGTCCAAGAGGAACCAGATCGGGATCGGACCCACATGATCGTGTATATTATCTGTGGAGTGGTGGCCATCATGGTGTTGGTCGGGATTTTTACCAAGCTCGGGCTGGAGAAGAGTCAAGGAGGACAGACTGACATGACTAACTCCAGGTATGAACTGAGAAAGGTGGATGGATGGATGGATGGATATATAGATGGATGGATGGGTGGGTGGGTGGATGGATGGATAGATGGATATATAGATGGATGGATAGATGGATGGATGGGTAGGTGGATGGATATATAGATGGATGGATGGATGGGTAGGTGGATGGATATATAGATGGATGGATAGATGGATGGATGGATGAATGGATGGATTGATATATAGATGGATGGATAGATGGATGGATGGGTGGGTGGATGGATATATAGATGGATGGATAGATAGATGGACGGATGGATGGATGGATGGACAGATGGGCGTATGGATGGTTAGATGAACTGATGGCTGTGTGGATAGACGGATGAGTGGATGGATGGATGGATGACATTGGGCACAGAAGGGAGTTAAAGAGTAGATACTTGATGTGATAGGCTAATGCTTGGCAGTTGAATACATGATGATGAAGACGATAATGATGTCACCAACAATTCTCATGACATTGATGCATTCAGTTTCATAAGATTTGCTTGAATTGATGGCTTGGTGGATGGATGTATTAAATATTTTATTTTTATGTTTTTCAAGAAAAAAAAGCTATAGAGTCATTCACCTACAAATGTTTCGAATCCACTACCCCTCTGATTTGCATCTTAACCATGGTGGCCAAGGCTCTGGGTATCGTAATATTGAGGCAAGGCAAGTTTATTCTTAAAGCACATTTCAGCAACAAGGCAATTCAACGTGCTTTACATTAAACATAAAAGCAACTTAGGGCAAATTAAAAAGACACTTAAATACAGTCAAAAAGTGTTAAATAGAAAATAAAAACAAGATAAAATAAGACAGTAAAAGTTAGAGTGAAGTGTAAGATATTAATCAAAAGCCTCCAATTTGATTTATTAAAAGGCAGCAGCAAAAAGAAAAGTCTTCAGCCTTGATTTAAAAGAGATGAGAGATGCAGAAGCCCAGCAGTTTTCTGGGAGTTTGTTCCAGACATAATGGAGCAAAAAAACTAAACGCTGTTTCTCCAGGTTTAGTTCTGACTCTGGGGACAGAAAGCAGACCTGTCCCAGATGACCTGAGAGGTCTGGATGGTTCATAACGTAGCAGAAGATCAGAAATTTATTTTGGACCTAAACCATTCAGTGCTTCATAAACTAACAGCAGTATTTCAAAATCCATCCAACTATAAACATAATTTCTACATAATCTGGAAGAATACTGTGTTTGGTGAGTGCCACTGAAGATTTAGAAATGAGTACTCCAGAACCAGCTCCATTATTTCTGCATCACCAGCTCCATTATTTCTGCATCAGTCAGTGACGGGCTAGTAAAAGGCTAGCCCGTTAGGCTACTTAAAAACTGTAATCAAATATTCATTGCATATTACTTATGGAAAAAGTAATTACATTATTTCCTAGTTTCTCATCAGCAAAAGAAATCAGATACATCACTCTTGTTGCTTAGCCCAAGAGATATTATGGTTTAGCAAACCATCAGCCCATGTTTTTCCAAGTAATGGAACGTTACTGAGATTGGTAACTCTAATGTAATTACACATTTCAAATTGTAATCCCTTACACTAGTCATTACTGAAACACATTACAGTAATGTGTTACTGCTCAACACTTTCAGTCAGAATGGATAGAGACAAATCTGAAATTACCTATCACGGTGAGATGATAAATGGTGTGACGTCTGGTTGAAATCATGAGGGTGCAACGGCCGTGGTGATGGAGAAGGAGAAAGAGAAAAAGAAAGAGAGACAGAGGACCGGATGAAGGTTCCAAGGGACAGATGTCAGGTGATGGTCAGGGAGGAATTTGGGAGAAATTGCCGTGCAGTTGTGTTGTGTTGTCTCTGTATTGGTATAGCCGTTTCACATTGATGGGTGATTGATTGCTGTGACACAACTATGACTGTGGCCTCCAGTGAACAATCAGAAGAGAGAGGGTGGTTTTTGGAAGGGTGGAATATTGAGCGGATGTGACTGGAGTGTGGCCAACGACTAATTCTATTGCAGAGAACAGGGGTGTGTGTTTGTGTGTGTGAAAGGGAGAGGAAGAGAAAGTAAGAGAGACAGTGTGTGTGCTGGGTGTGACCGGCCATGGGGGCTCCTTTAAAATCCTGTCATTGGCAGATCTCCCCTTTACCCTCTTGGGGATGATTGGAGAAGAAGGGGAGGAGGAGGAGGAGGAGGAGGAAGATGGGGATAGCAGCGGACGTCAGCACTCATTATTATACTAATCAAGGGATTGTTTTGGAGATGTTTCTGGTTGGCTGTCTTCACCACATGCAGGTCACACTATCAAAAGAAATGTTCAGCATCTGTCTTGAAGTGTCTCAGAGTTGACGTGTGTATGCCTCTGATCAGCAGGACAGATGCTGACAAGCTCAAGTGTCTTGGACCAAGACATTGAAACTCTACTTCCCTTTGACCTTACTAAATGAAAATAGTTTTTCCCCCTAATTGAAATAAATAGGCTATTGAAATGGTTACTACGAGTCAGAAAATGAAGTAAACAGCTTATTGCAAATTCATGTTAATCCTAAGAATATGAACTGGCTATTGTAATGGGAATCAAGAAAACAATGTTTTATACAACATAACAAAGAGACATATGCTGCAAATGCATATACGTAACAAAGTATGATTCACAAAAATGAAATGTTTAGATTTTGCTTTATGCTCCTATAAGCAGTCCAGCAATGCTTTACTGTTGTAGAACTTAGGGAAGAGTTTTTATGGATATGCATTATAGTTGTCTCATTATAGTTGTTATAAAGCAGTCAAAAATCAGGTGGAGATGGCACAATGGATAAGACTATGCCTTTGATATGAGAGACCCAGGTTCAATCCCCCACTGTGACCCATCCACCATTGTGTCCCTGAGCAAGACACTTAACTCCTAGTTGCTCCAGAGGCGTGCGTTGTAATTGTAAGTCGCTTTGGATAAAAGGGTCAGCTAAAAGAATAAATGTAATGTGCAAACAAAGCAATGAATTTTGTTAATACTTTTTTCCCCGTGTTTGATAATCAGAGTTGATGTATCCCAGTTCTCCGATTGGCTGAAAGTGTGATATACTTTGTCAGGCAAATGTGTACAGAGCAGAGATGTTCAGACAAGGCACATGAATACAACTGACAGTGGTTAGTATTGTGCAATTACTTGGATAAACACACATTTATTAAATTTTTATTTTTTCTTCCTTTAAGCAATAAAAACGTCTCTAAAAACAAATTCTGAATAGCTCCACAGCAGCTGGGGTGGATGGTCAACAAAGTGGGTGACTTTGTCTTGTCTTGTATTAATATTCTGCACTGGTTTCTTTCTAGCATGATGGTGATGTTTTGTCTAGACCGAACCAGAAACCGAAACCGACCTGTGCAAGTGGCAGGCCGGTTTTGTCATGTCGACAGCGGTGAGAAGAAACAGAATACACTTACTCAAGTACTGTACTTGAATACAGCTTTCAGGTACTTTCAGGTATTTTCCTTGTGTATCTCCGTTTGATGCTACTTGATACTTCCCTGGCCGATTAGTTACTTTGAAGATCAAGATTTTAAATACATTTTTTATGACGTGCCAACAGTATGTAGACTAGTTCAAATTAGCTCCACCATGACCAGCTAAAGCATTAACATGCTGTTTGCACAGTAATGCATGAGCCGTTAATAAAATATACCACTCCTACTGGGGTCATTCTGCTGTATAATGAGTGATTGTAATATGTTTAGAACTTTTTGCTGATGAAAGTTTTATACTTATGAATGCATGACATTTACTTGTAAAGGAGTAGTTTTACTTTTACTACCTTTACTTAATTAAAGGATCTCAGTATTTATTGAACCACTGGGTTTTGGCATGACGACTTATTGCCTATAGACCAAATATTTTTGAACTCTTGTCAAGGACAGAAAACGGGATCAGTGACAACCATAAAGCAGAACAAAAAGGAATGGTGATGCTGTTGACATTTTACAACACCTCTTGTATCACAGTTATTTACCTTGTTATCTGCTAAAGCTGGTGCGTGTGAAGGCAGACTGAATGACACCAAAGCTAACCACTGCAGTGATGAGACGAGAGCCCATGAAGGAGCCTGTGAAAGGACAATCCTCTGGAGCTAGATAATGATTGTCTTTCAAAACTGGCATAAAAAGACATTTTCTCTTTTCAGGGTTTGTTTTAACACCTTTGCACTGCAATTTGAAAATGTCATTATGCTGTTACTTCAGTTTCTTTATTTTAGGATGGAACTGGGCTGGTGTTGTTCAAACTACTGCGATGTCCAGGTTGATACAGCCTTTTGATTTCATCATTTCTTTATGACAAGGGGGATTTCGTAATCTTTATAAAAGACATTATTGTTGTATTGAAACTGCTACATCCCTATTAGACAAGCCTATTTCAAGGTGGTTGGAAAAGTTTTCTTGCTAGCTGAAAATGTCATCCTGGTCAGCACATATAGATAATAAATTGTCATAGTAGTTTGGTAATCCACATAATGTGGGTCTGGAAAGAACAGGTCTATCTGAGAAATGGTATGAAATATTTTGTGGGATTATGCTGGTGGTGATGTTCTGATCCCGAAAACTGAGAAATGTGTTTTCATGCCTGGTGGTTCAAGCTTCTAGTCTGATAAATGGACAGATACTGTCTAAAGAGGAGGCATATAAAGTAGTTGTTGATTTTATCCATTTAACAGTAATTCAGTATGTGCTCCTCAGGTCATGTTTCCCTAATTTATTAAATAATAATTGTCTATCAAGGAAAGTTAAATTGGTGGACATTTCAGAGGCCGCACTTGGCACACAAGGTCAGTGAGAAGTAATGATTTTGGATAGTGTCTGGGTTTGGCTGTGACAGACAAAAATACTGCGAGACCACTTTGTGTTTCTGTGCAGAATAGATGAGCCCTGGTGAGATTGTTTATAACATCTATTCATGGGCATCACATTTCAAATTCATTCTCAACATGCATACATTTGACAGGGAGACAC